CATTATTTGCGTATATTTTATAGTACTCACAACAAGCGAACAAGTTTTTGGCACCGTTGCCGGGGATTGGCAGCCTGAAGTTATTTAGTTTTGCCAGAGCATTTTATTTTGTTTTGTATTTTTATATTTTTTTGTATAGTTTACTTGATATTTTTGTTTTATTTTCTAGGTTTATTTAGTGTATGCCTAGAAGAAATTCTGAAGAGCCTTTGGAACCAATAGAACCTGAGATTGAAAGACTCTTTAGAAGAAGAAGACATGCTCAAAGAAATATGTATCAGATTGGAAACCAAGGCATTGGTCAAGATGACAGAAATCAGAATGCCGAGGCATTAAACAATGTTGAACCTGCTATCAGGCCTCGTGTTATTCGAGATCATTTAAATCCGATGCTGGATGATCTGAATCCTGGGATTGTGGCACCCGAAATTCAAGCTACACATTTCGAGCTGAAACCAGTCATGTTCAACATGTTGAATTCCATTGGGCAGTTTGGGGGTATGCCAACTGAAGATGCCAGGCAGCACATTCGTAATTTTCTAGAAGTTTGTGATTCTTTCCGCCAAGAAGGAGTGCATGAGAATTTTCTAAAATTAAATCTTTTTCCGTATTCATTGCGTGACCGAGCAAGGGCTTGGTTGAGTGGTGTACCAGCCGGTTTGATGGAATCATGGGCCGATCTTTGCAAGAGCTTCTTATTGAGGTACAACCCACCGAATATGAATACGCAGCTAAGGAATGAAATATCATCTTTTCGCCAGGGCGACGACGAATCCATGTATGAGTGTTGGGATCGTTACAAGAGTTTGCTTCGAAAGTGTTCAAATCATGGTTTTCATGATTGGACTCAAGTAGTCATGTTCTATAATGGAGTCAATGCACCCACGAGGATGTTACTAGATGCCTTGGCAAATGGGACATTGCTGGATAAATCACCTACGGAGGCGTTTTCTATCTTGGACAGAATTGCTAACAATGATTATCAATTTCCTTCCTCAAGACTTGGGAGTGGGAGGAGAGCACCTGGAGCATTCGAGTTAGAAGCCAAAGATTCGGTGTCCGCTCAACTCTCTGCTATTACTAATATGTTGAAGAACTTACAATGTTCCACTGATGTGAAGAAAGTGAAAACAACTAGTCTGGCATGTCTATTATGCCAAGGCAATCATCACGAGAGCGAATGCCCAACCAACCATGAGTCCATCAACTTTGTTGGTAATTACAATCGAGGCAGCAATAATCCTTACTCAAACACTTATAATGCTGGATGGCGTCAGCATCCTAATTTTTCATGGGGAAATCAAGGAGGCCACAATGCTAATCAACCTACTAGGCAGCAGAATCACAATGAGCCTCAAAGTTACCAAAATGCTATGCCATGGCATAATACTAACAAAGGAGCTTCATCTTTAGCAAGCATAAGTTCCTTAGAAGATACAATTCAAGAATTCATATCTACTACGAAGACAATGCTACAAGACCATTCTACTTCAATTAAGAATCAAGGAGCTTTACTTTATAGTCAAGGCGCCTTACTTCAAAGCCATAGCTCGTCTCTGAGAGCTTTGGAAGGTCAAGTTGGTTAAATTGCTACGGCATTGCAAGAGCGTCAGCAAGGACGTTTGCCAAGTGATACTAAAGTCACTAAAGGGCCTGGAAAAGAGCACTGCAATGTGTTAACTCTTAGGAGTGGAACACAAATCAATCGACAAGTCAAGGATAGTGGGCCACAGCATGATAATTCTAATCCCACTACTGAAGCTGAATTACAAGATGATAGAGTTTCTGAGAAGGACAAGGAGGAGGATTCTGCCAAGGTACCAGATTCTGATGCCAAGGCAAAAGAAAATTCTATTCCTACAGCTAAGGAAGCTAGACCTCCCCCACCCTTCCCGCAAAGATTGAAGAAGCACAATGATGAAGTTTAGTTCAAGAAGTTTGTAGACATTCTTGATCAGCTCCATATCAATATACCTCTCTTGGAAGCTGTTGAACAGATACCGATGTATGCCAAATTTCTGAAGGACATCTGTACCAAGAAGAGGAAAGTAGAGACTGTTGCCACGGCAACAGAATTTTGTTCTTCATTGAGTAAGTTGCCGCCAAAGAGAAATGATCCGGGCAGCTTCATTATTCCTTGTTCAATTGGAGCTAATTTCATTGGAAAGGCTTTATGTGATCTTGGTTCAAGTGTCAACTTAATACCGAAATCGATATTCTTGAAGCTTGGCATAGGAGATGCAAGACCCACCTCAGTTATTTTACAACTTGCCGACAAATCCCATGTTAAACCTGAAGGGAGAGTCGAGGATGTCATAGTAAGGGTGGACAAGTTTGTGTTTCTAGTCGACTTCTTAATTCTGGACTGCGAAGTTGATGCCAAGGCACCAATCATTCTGGGAAGACCTTTCCTAGCCATTGGACGTATCTTGATAGACTGTGAAAAAGGTGAACTCACCATGAGAGTGGCTGATTAGTGTGTGACTGTCAATGTTTTTAGAACGCTCAAATATGTTGATGACACTGAAGAATGCCAAGGCATTTCTGAATTGAACTCAGTGATTGAAGAAGAGACTGAACATCTTTTCCAGAACAACTTCATTCAGCTAGCAGAAAATGAATATTGGGTGGATGATGAAAGCTTAGTGGAGTCCGACGACTTTCCAATTTTGGAGGAGCAATCTAGCTTAGTACAAGTTAGATCAGGTATGAATTTTGAACCTCTGAATTTTTGATGAATTCATTTCTCCTAAGCCTTCATTATTGCATGCACCCAATCTAGAGCTTAAGAATTTGCCAGGGCATCTTAAATATGTTTACTTAGGTAGCGATGAGACTTTACCGGTGATTATTTCCGCTAACCTTACTGCTAGCCAAGAGCAAAGTTTGTTAAGTGTGTTTTGATGCAGCATAAGAAAGCAATTGGTTAGACTATGGCCGATTTGAAAGGCATTAGTCCCACGATCTGCATGCATAAGATTCTGCTAGAAGATTGCCACGGCAATTCAATTGAACCATAAAGAAGACTCAACCCTGTTATGAAGCAAGTGGTGATGAAAGAAATTCTGAAATGGCTTGATGCTGGAGTGATCTACCCTATCTCCAATAGCTCATGGGTGAGCCCTGTCCAATGTGTTCCGAAGAAAGGAGGCACGACGGTGGTTACGAATGAGGATAGTGAGCTATTACCCACTCGCACTGTGACCGGATGAAGGATATGCATGGACTATCAAAAACTCAACAAAGCTACGAAGAAGGACCACTTTCCTCTACCTTTCATCGACCAAATGTTGGATCGATTGGTCGGCAAAGCATTCTATTACTTTTTGGATGGGTACTCGGGGTACAATCAAATTGCCATCGCACCAGAGGACCAGGAGAAGACTACATTTACTTGTCCCTATGGCACTTTTGCCTTTAGGAGGATGCCTTTTGGACTCTGTAATGCCCCGGCAACGTTTCAACGCTATATGCAAGCTATATTTTCATATATGGTTGAGGATTTTCTGGAGATGATTTTCTGGAGATCTTCATGGATGATTTTTCTGTTTGTGGGGATGATTTTGAACGATGCCTCGGCAATTTAGCAAAAGTTCTCAAGAGATGCGAGGAGGCTGAGTTGGTCTTAAACTGGGAAAAATGTCACTTCATGGTGACTGAAGGTATTGTATTAGGCCACAAAATTTCACACAAGGGTATTGAGGTAGACAAGGCGAAAATTGAAGTGATTGAAAAATTGCCACCACCAACTTCGGTCAAGGGAATAAGAAGTTTTCTTGGACATGCTGGATTTTATAGAAGATTTATCAAAGACTTCTCCAAGATTTCTAAGCCCTTGTGCACATTGCTTCAACAAAACCAACCATTTGTGTTTGACGAATTATGCCTCGACACATTTAATGAGCTGAAACGACAACTGATTTCGGCACCCATTGTAGTCCCTCCCGACTGGATATCACCATTTGAGCTGATGTGTGATGCAAGCGATTATGCCGTAGGAGTTGTTTTGGGGCAATGCCGAGGTAAAATTTTTCATGTTATTTATTACTCTAGCCGCACTTTAAATGAAGCACAATTGAACTACACCACCACTGAGAAAGAATTACTTGTCGTGGTATTTGCTTTTGATAAATTTAGACCTTACCTAATAGGCACTAAAGTTATTGTTCACACTGATCATTTGGCTATAAAATACTCAGTGAACAAAAAGGATGCCAAGCCTAGACTTATTAGGTGGATCTTACTTTTGTAAGAATTTGACTTAGAGGTGGTAGATAGAAAAGGAACTGAAAATCAAGTTGCTGATCACTTATCTAGGCTAGAGAACAATTCTGAATGCCATGACACTGTAGATATCCAAGAGGAATTTCCTGATGAGAAAATTTTATATGCCGCGGCAATCCTATGGTATGCTGACCTTGTTAATTTTCTTGTTAGTGGAATTGTGCCTTTTGATTTGAATAGTCAGGCTAAAAAGAAGTTCAAGCACGATGCAAGGCACTATTTTTGGGATGAGCCATATCTGTTCAAACATTGTGCCGATCAGCTCATTAGACGATGAGTATGAAGAGGAGCAAAGTGATATTTTGTACCATTGTCATTCGGCCCCAAGTGGAGGCCATTTTGGTGGAGCAAGGATTGCTGCTAAGGTCCTGCAATCAGGCTTTTACTGGCCAACTTTGTTTAGAGATGCCCAAGCATTTTACAAAGGATGTGATCGATGCCAACGGACTGGAAACATCTCCAGACGACATGAGATGCCGCTGTAAAATATTTTGGAGATAGAGCTGTTTGATGTGTGGGGCATCGACTTCATGGGACCATTCCTATCTTCTGAAGGAAAATTATATATATTGCTTGCTGTGGATTATGTGTCAAAGTGGGTGGAAGAAATAGCAACATCAAGGAATGACTCCAAGACCGTACTCAAGTTTTTGCACAAGTATATTTTCACTCGGTTTGGAGTACCTCGTGCTATCATCAGTGATGAAGGAACCCATTTTGATAACAAGTTGATTGCCCAGGCATTGCTGAGATATGGAGTTCGACACAAGATTGCCACGGCATATCATCTGCAGACAAATGGACAAGCTGAGATATCTAATCGAGAGAACAAGCAGATTTTAGAGAAAGTGGTGAACCCAAAGCGAAAGGATTGGTCGCCAAAGTTGGATGAAGCACTTTGGGCGTATAGAACAGCATTCAAAACTCCTTTGGGGATGTCACCCTTCAAGTTAGTGTATGGTAAAGCTTGTCATCTCCCGGTTGAGCTTGAACATAAAGCTTATTGGGCTATCAAGCGATTGAATTTCGATGCTCAACTAGCTGGGGAGCAGAGATTATTAGAACTTAATGAAATGGAAGAGTTTAGAGCACAAGCATATGAGAATGCTCGGATATACAAGGAGAAAACCAAGAAGTGGCATGACCAAAAACTGATGCCACGGCATTTTCATGTGGGGCAACAAGTCTTGCTTTACAACTCCAGACTTAAACTCTTTCCTGGGAAGCTAAAATCTCGATGGTCAGGGCCATTTGAGGTGCATTATGTCTATCCCCATGGAGCTGTTGACATCAAGAGAATAGACAATGGGAAAATTTTTAAGGTCAATGGCCAGTGTCTGAAAGCCTACAATGGAATTCCACCACCGCACAACAAGGACGTGTTACGGCTACACGATACTGAAGCGTGCCCAGAGGAGAACCAAAATTCGATGCCTCGACATTGAATTTTTGTCTGTGCATAAATAAAATTTAACATTCAAGTTTTTTCTTTAGTTTTATTTTATTTTATTTTGTAATTAATTTTGATCTGATTTGTAGGGACTACACTGTTGTAAACCGTACAAGGAGCGGTTACCAAAGGGAGGAAAGGACAAAGCATTAATTGGAGAGATATTCTTTTGATTTGTTTCTTTTTATTTAATTTAATTTATAACATTTACTTTTCTCTTTCCACAGTTTTTGTCCCATCATCATCATTGCTTTTTGGCAGTTTTTCCTTCCCCATACACGCACAACCCCCACCCACTAATTTCTCTCTTAACCGTCCTATCACCCCTTTTCCCTCCCAAATTTTTAACTTTTTCTTTTATATTTCATTATTAATTTTTCTCTTTCATTTTAAATTTTACCTTTTCTCTTTCTTTCATTCATCTTCTTTCTTTGTTATTTCTCCATAGCCGAAATACATCCAAGTTTTTAAAGCTTTCAAAAGCTTCTTCCTTTTTCATTTTTCTTACTTCAAAAACACTGAAAATGGTGCGCTCAAGACCAGCTCCAACCGACACGACCGCTTGGCAACAGTTTGAGAACGATGAGGCTAAGGCTCGGTTCCAAAACTTCAAGAACCGAAAACTCTTTTTTGAGTTAGGATTTATTTTTACCGAGGAAACCGATGGTGGTTTTGGACCCGATGTTATGGACATCGTGACGCCACTCAAATGGCAGAAGTTTGCTCGTCATCCTGGTTCGGTGAACGCCTCATTAGTTAAGGAGTTCTATGCGAACATTTTCAAGCCCAATCTACACTACTTCTTCATTCGAGGTAAGCAAATCCGTTTTACATGCACTGCTATTAATCGTTATTTTCATTTGCAGGATGTTGTGGATAACCATGCCATGTTCGAAGAGGAAGCAGATAGCAACACATACGATGGGATCTTGGAGGACCTTTGTTTCGAAAACACTGAGTGGAATGGTCGCCAGAAGAGTAGATACTCGGTCAACCGGGAACGTCTTCAGCCGCGCGCAAAGCTATGGAATCACTTTCTCAAGCATAAATGAATGCCCACCTCCCACAACACTACGATATCACTTTCACGCTTATTGCTTTTGCATTCTATAATGGTATCCCGTTCGATCGATGTGGGTCATATCATTGTTCAGCAAGTTCCTGACTGTTTGGGTAAAAAGGCAAGTACTTTGGTGTTTCCTAATTTAATTACCGCTTTATGTCGTAAGAAAAAGGTTGAGGAAAATTCTTTTGATGAAATTTTACCTGGATTATCGGGCATTACTAGGGCTAGACTTCCACTATTGTTGGGAATTGAAAATCCCAAGTCTAACGACCCTGTTCATGAGCAATCTGCAGGTGTTACAGAATTGAATGCCGAGGCAAGGTTACTTGCTCTCGAGGAAGCTGTGATGCAGACTCAAGCTCAAATGCATGCTTTACACGGTGACATCCGTAACTTCTTTGGATATGTGAAGCATAGAGATGCTGTGTTGGAATCATTCTTTCAAGAAATCATTCCCCACGGACAACGGAATTTTCCTGGATTCCCAGACGAAATTCTGCCGGCATTCAATGCCGAGGCATCTCCAGAGCCTGAGCACGATGCACCCGATCCTCCTGCTACTGACCCTACTCCTGATACACACCGGTCCGAGACTCCTGAATATCCGCCCAGTGTCCCTGTCGAAGAAACACCCAGCCCCGTCCCAGCACCCAATCCTTCTCATGCATAACGTAGTGGTCACCGCACCAAAACCACGGTTGGACGCATTGCGCAATATTACTCCACTTCTTCCGAGTCCAGCCCAGCACCTATCCGAAAGCGCACCCGACGAGGAGCTGCTAGCACCTCCAAAGCACCACCATCACGTAAACATTGAGGTACCTCTCTTGCATCCATTTTCATTTAGTTGCATTTCATTGCATAACATATAGTTTATAGATAGTTTAGTTCTCTTTAAAGTATTGAGGACAATGCTTTCCTTAAGTTTGGGGGAGGTATTGTTCTTGGTAAGTCATATGCATGATAGCATTAGCATAGTATTATGCCATGGCATCAGTAAATGGTAGGACAGTTAGATAAAATGTTTTGAGGATACCCGATGATTATAATTTTGTTAGGCTAGAATCTGAATGTACATGACTGTTGAGAATGATAGAACTCACTCTAGGGCTTGATGCTTTGTGAAAAATATTTACACGATTTGTATGTTCTCTATACTTAGAAAATTTAGGAAATTTTTATGAAGGAACTTTAGTTAGCCTTGGCATTGAAATAGTATGGTGTTTAAAAGAAAAATCAAAAACAAAATCCCTTAGAAATGAAACTGTGAATAAATGCTTAAGCATAGCTGTAGAGGGACACTCCTCTTTGCCTTGGCATTTCCTGGAACTTTCTTTAATAAATGGAAGCCTTGTGCATATGAGTGAATGAAAGAAGTCACAGGATGACTCTACTTAACTAGCTCGGGGATGGAAGGTATGCTCCCTTTCATCTAGAGTGTGGGAGAGTAGGTGTGATGAGCTGACTCCCTTCGTAACAGTTTAAAAAAAATCAAAGAAAAGGGAGTAAAAATGTGCTTAATGATAAGTAAATGCCTTGACAAAAACTAGGGGACTTGATTAGAAATTGTCTAAATTCGCTAATTATAGATTGGATACAATCACGCACACACATTACCACAAAGAATTTTGACCTAGAGAAAAGTACTTGAATTCTTGATAAGTCTAGAATGTTGAAGCCTGTCGTTCTGAGGGTTGAAATTTAATTTTGTCATACTGTCTTACTATCGAACTTTGCCATGACATTATGCTTATGTAACTGCTATCCATTGCTTGAGGACAAGCAATAGCTTAAGTTTGGGGGTGTGTTAACTTCCTAAAAAGGCTACTTTTAAAGCCTTTTTCACTTAAGTTATTGTTTGTTTAAAAGCTCATTTTAGTCATTTTAGGATCATGTAGTTGCATATAGTTGCATTTTTGGTGGTTGTACTATTTTATTTCTCAATGGTGCTGTTTGAGGAAAAGGTGCAGTTTGTCTATGGTGTGCAGGGAATAGCAAGAAAAAGGATTCTTTGGGAAGTAATGCCGCGGCATCACACGTTGCTAAAGCAGATTGAAATGCCTTAGCATTTCTGGCGCAGAAAAAGACAAAAAGATATTTCTGCATAAGGACAGCTGGCACTGCACGTGGAGGACTGCTGTAACCGCCTGCCAGAGCTGCCAATGTACCACTGCCACTTGGAGGATAAGGTTCATGCACAAAATGTGATCCTAGGTGTATGAGGGGTATTTTTCACCCAACAAACTCATCATTACCCCTAGATATTTTATTTATTATATATGACACCTCATGGGAGAGGGGTGAGCACACGTATAGAGCAGAAAAATCATATTTTTATTTTCTTTTTTTTCCTTTCTTTTTCCTTGGAATATTCCTCCATTGATAAAGCTCCAAGGAGTGGCAAGCTAGGCGCCGAAAGGAGCTAGTGAGCTAGGTGGTTCGTGGTGGCTGAGAGAAGACCTCCGGTGGCGCGTCGAAGGCTTCTTCTCACTTCCCTTTTTGCTGCTATTTCTTTATATTATTTTGTGGGTTGTTGGAACGAATTTTCATAACTTTGTGTTTGGATATTTCGAACCCCACCATGAACTAACTTATTTGGTGGTGGTTGGTTGAATGGTTGTTTAAACTTTATTTTTAATGGTATATTTAAGTTTATTTTGGTTCTTTATTTGCTTTGCTTATGAATGCTTCACCATCTAGGCTTGTAAGAGGCATGGAAATGTCCATCTCTTAGATGAAGGTTAGGTATTCAGAAGAATCCTAAACTAAAAATACCTGTAAGTATTCGGAAGAAACGCAAGATAAGATCCTCATAAGCAATGGGTTATGGTATTTTCAAGGGGCTTTGAACCAACCTAGGAATATTATAACTTAATCCCTTAGATCTCGAAAGAGACTAGGATAGGATTTTAACGACTAAAAAGGGTGTCTTCATCAATAGGGTAGGCTGTCCAACATCGTTGAGTGAGAGCAGATGCCTTGGCATCCTATTTTGTTAGGTTCTTTTGAACACCTTAGGAAAGCCCTGTCGAGTAAGTAAAGACAAGATAACTCAGATATACTTGAGAAATAAGTTTAGCAACCTTAGACCAATCCTTACCATTCATTTCATTGGAAGCTTGTCACGTGAGGATTATTTTCTTCTTATTTTACTTATCTTTTTAGTTACTGTTTTTACCAATTATCATTGCCTCAACATTTCATCATACTCAACATTAAACATCCATTATTGCCACTGCATTTCCATTTTCTACACCATCACACCATCAATCTGCATCCACCAGCATACACATATCCATTGCCGTGACATTTGTATATATCAAGACTAACTATACTTAGAATATTGCATTGCTTTGGTTAGGCTTTCGTAATTTCACCCAATCCCTGTGGAGACGATACTCACTCATCATTATATTACTTGAGTGATTTTGTATACTTGCACATTATTTGCGTATATTTTATAGTACTCACAACACGCGAACAAGAAGTTCAAGCTGTGGAAAGATGATGTTGAAAACGAAACAAGACGAAAAATCAAGTGTTGGAGGTCTGACAATGGTACGGAGTACACAGATTTATAGTTTCTACAATTATGTAAGGAGCATGGGATAAGAGGTATTTTAAAGTGCGCAAGACACCACAACATAATGGTCTTGTGGAATGGATGAACATGTCGTTGAATGAAAGATCCATATGTTTACAGTTGAATATGGGGCTTCCCAAACACTTATGGGCTGAGGCTGTTAACATGGCGTGTTATCTTATCAACAGATTGCCAAGGGCATCATTGGCTGGGAAAGTAGCAGAAGAGGTATGGACTGGTCATGATGTTAGTTTTG